AAAAAAAAAGGCTGTATTTTATTTGAGATGCTGAATTAGGCCAAATTTTTGGTTCTCATATAATTTTATTGACGATACGAAATGACAAAGAATATGTGTTTTTTTGTTTTTTTTTTGTATAATTCTCAAAAATAAATCTTTTTCTTGATTATTATTATTGTTGTTATTGTTGTTGAGATGAAGGGGAAGAATAAGGAGGAGAAGGAGGAGGATGAGGAGGGAAAAACCCGAATGACACATCTTCCTGTCAGTCAGCAGTCAGTCAGTTTTTATGCCTTTTTTTTTTCTCCGTCCGCCCTGTTGTTATCTGATTGATTGAAAACAGTAGAAGATGTATGAGATAGAATTGCCGTAGAGGTAGGTCGAGATGAATTGTCCTGGTAATTTTTTATTTTGATCTTCTAAAACATAAGGCAAAGTAAAAAATGAACCAAAAAAAAGTTATTTTTATTATGTATGTAGTCTTTTTTTTAGCGTAACTAAAATTTATTGGTTATAAAAAGAAAAAAAAAGAGAAACTGTTGCGATACACTGCGGGATAAAGCCGATTTATTGCTGCGACGGTATCTTACCGGCCCAACAATGTGACCGATTGCTGTCTACCGGTTTCCGTTTGCAACTTTTCTTTTTTTTCCTTCATTCTTTTCTTCTTCACATCTTTCATTATCTGGATTGTCGCCTGGCGAAATTACATTTGCAATCGAATTTGCAAAACTAATTTGACTGATAGAAAAAAAAAATTCTATTTTTTATTCTGGAAATTTTCTGAAACTATAAGAAAAATGTTGTTACTAAACTGGCTGAACAACTTAGCAGTTCAGCTGTTTTAGCAGCATCGTAGCCTAAGTAGCCTGGAGTTTGTTTGCTTAATTAGTGTTAATACTGTTCACTGACGACCAGTTGATCATGTTTTGATAAACTAAAGACTGTCAAAATTAAGTTAACATTTTCAAGCAAATTTATCAGCTTCTAAAGAATCTTCATTTCTAAGCAACGGGTTGCCGTTATTCTCCTGTCTCCCGTGTCATTTTATACTGCAGTGTCGACAGGTTTCGCAAGTTGTTTCTTTTTTCTGAAGTTTTTTTATGTCTTAAATCGATATTACATGAAAAAAAAAGACAGTAAAAGGAGCAGGAAGTTGTAGGAACACAAATACTTTATGGATTGCAGTAACATTAACTGTAAAACTGGAGGAACTGGTAAGGTCAATAGAAAGAAAAAAAAGGAACTGTGAAGACGAACTGAAATTTTACTTCGTAAAAATAGTCATTTATTGTTCAGATTTTTTACAACCAGAAAAAATAAAAATAAAATTATAAAAAATAAAAAATACAAAGAACAAAAAAGTTGGGAAAATAGCAAAAAAATATCACTATCATCACCACCATTGAAAACAGCAAAGAAATTTGAGGTTTTGATGAGCATATAAAATTGTTGTTGAAAAATCTATGAAAAAAAGAAAAGGAAAAAGAACGGAACGACAGATAAATTTTTGAAAAAGGCGAAAGGGCCAAAAAAAGAAAGGTTTTTTTCTTTCATATGTTTGAACAATTCCGAATTTAGAACAATTCGGTAACTTCATTGTATCTTCTTTTCCTTT